ATCAGCCACACTATCAGAGGCTCGTTCACCTGCACATCTACCAATGTGATATATGCCATCATGTGCCAGCAATGCCTCTCTGTCAAACTGGACAGTCTCTATGTAAAAGAATAAATGGACACAAATCAGATGTCAAGAATTATAACATTCATAAACCAGTCGGAGAACATTTCAATCTCTCTGGTGACGCGATTACAGACATGAAAGTTGTGATATTACAACAGAAAAACTTCAAAACCAGACTCCAGCGGAGACTGTTGAATTGGAATTCATTTGCAAATTGGATACAATTAACTTAGGCTTGAATAGAGACTGGGAGCGGCTAAGTCATTATGCAAGGTAACCTATTTCCCCTTGTTTTTTCCTAACCCCCACCCCCACCCCCCAGACGTTCTTGTTAAACCCTGGATTTGTGCTGGAAATGGCCCACCTTGATTATCATACACATTGTACAGAGAGCGATCACTTTAGATAAGCTAAAAGAAAAGGAGTACTTGTGGCACCTTAGAGACTAACCAATTTATTTGAGCATAAGCTTTCGTGAGCTACAGCTCACTTCATCGGATGCATACTGTGGAAAGTGTAGAAGATCTTTTATAGTAAAGTGTGATGCAAAAATCAGATCCAAGGAGTTTACACACTTGTCTAAAGGGATAAAAAAGGGGGATGCCACATTCAAAAGTGATCATTCTGGGACACATTAACAGCAGTGTCATATGTAACACACAGGATATAATTGTTCGGCTCTACTTGTCACTGGTGAGGCCTCAGCTAGAGTACTGCGTCCAGCTCTGGGCATCACTTTTTAAGGAAAGATAAGAACAAACTGCAAAGAGTCAAGATCAGACCAACAAAAATAATTAAATGTTTGGAAAAAATGTCCAATTCTTTCACTCTTTCCATGCTTAGTCTAGAGAAGAGGTAGTTTCAAATATGTAACAGGTTGTTTTAAAGAGGACAGTGATCAATTGTTCTCCAAGCCCAACAAGGGTAGGACAAGAAGTAATTAGTTTAGTTTGAAGCAAAGGATATTTAGATAGAAAGTTTTTCCTAACAACAAAACTATAAAGGACAGTTAAGCACTGGAACAAGTTACATAGGGAGGTTGTGGAATTCCCATCAATGCAGGTTTTTACAAACAGGTTAGCCAAACGGCTCTCAGGGACAATCTAGATATATTTAACCCTGCTTCAGTGTGTGTTTGGGGGTCGAGGGTGGGGAGCAGCAGAACTAGGACTAGGTGGCCTCTTTCAATATTTCTACTGAAATATACATGTCTACATTTCTATGATTATTGTTTCATTGTTCCATTTGTATCAGCCTGACCAGCACCAAACCACCATGAAAACTTCAGATTTACGTCAGTTTTAATTTCTATCTTTCGTCAGTTTTACAGCATTTCTGAAAAATGAAGCTTTAACACTCCCATAAAAATGAAACTTTTCCTGTAACTTTACTTACGGCCTTGCTACCGCTGCATCATAACATGACACTTGTATTCCCAATCTCCATCTTGATCTGCAAAAGCTGAACAAATCCATAGGATGGCCTCTCTGCTATCTACCACCTGCCTCTCAAATGGAGGCCCCAACTTTAAGAAGAAAATTCAGTTTCCAGCTTTCCCATTTAAAAGCAATCCTCTGTCCATGCATCTAACCTCAAATACCATATGGAGCCAAAGAGAGCTGCATTTAAGTATCCCAGGAGAAAAAGCAGCCACAGATACCTGAGCATGATACCATCTTGCCCAACAGGGCATTAAACTTCTAAATCTAATGCATCAACCTCACTTTACCATTTACTAGAAATTCAAGGACTTCTCTCAACCCTTGCTAATTCTGAAGCAGCCTGGAAACAAGGCATAAGTTTTTAACAGTGAGAGTAATTAACCAATGGATAATTTACCAAGATTCGTGGCGGATTCTCAATCACTGACAATTTTTTAATCAAGACTGGATGTTTCTTCTAAAAGATCTGCTTTAGGAAATATTTTGGGGAAGTTTTATGACCTGTGTTAAACAGGAAGTCAGAATAAATGATCATAGTGGTTTCTGCTGGCTGTGGAATCTACAAATCTCTGCATGCGGTTTTTAAATTCTAGTCATGTAACCAATGATGATTTAGTTTAACTCAGAATGGAGAAATACATTTTTACCAGAAAAATTTAAAGCAGGCCAAAGGGACAAATATCCTTTGTGCCTTCTCCACTGTGGATGATACATGGGCTCAATCAATTTTCTTCATGATTTTAACTTCCAAAGCAGATTATTTTATCTATAAATTAGGCATGTCTCCAGCAAATCAATACTGCATTTTAACTGAGATTTGACATACTCTCCTGCTTCTGGCCTCCTTAAACCTATTAATATTAAAATTATTTCAAGAATATGTCTTCTCATGGCAGTGTAATTTGAACCACTATTAACGGAAAGTCTGTGTTGTACAGTCTTTTATACAAATCCATAATAGGATTCCAGACATTTTAGCATGTACTAATTCATAAAAATATTGATGGCCAAAGTAACAACCATAACTTTGTAATTTTAACTCTTCTAGAAACCTCAGCCACGAGTTTGTTTTTTAAAGAGAAATTCATTTATCATGTCGAAACTAATTACTTTTAGTTATGGGAAATAATGAACTAGAAATGAACTGTTACAATCACTGAATAATTTAAACAGTGACAACAAAGTTAATAGAAAAAAGTAGCAACTAACAGGCTGCCTAAATTTAGAACACAGCAATATATACATGCTCTCTTTGCTGTGTTACATATTTCATTTTATATCAAAGTGTAACAGTAGCCACATGGTTACTAGTTTGACCTTTGCCGAATTTGTCTTTGATAGTACGATTGTGTAAAAAAAAAAAGGTAGATCCTAAACATATAAATAAAAGAACATAAGAACAGCCATACTGGGTCAGACCAAAGGTCCATCTAGCCCAGAATCCAGTCTTCTGACAGTGGCCAAGCCAGGTTCCCCAGAGGGAATGAACAGAACAGGTCATCACAAAATGCAGCTGCCAAATGACCTCCGTACAGTCTACAGACAACTATCTTTTTGTACTTTGGCAGTTTGTTTTGTAACACATTGCACCCATTTGTTGTACCTTCCATTACATTTGCTAGAACTAGTTCAATAGTAGTTCTAAAACAGTCACCTAAAATTATCTTTATTCTCTGAAAATTCCAAATAATCAAACCAGAAGTGTGGGAGGTCTGGGAGAAGGGGAGCAGGGGGGAGGAGTAGTTGTTAGAAGTGAGTGGGTGCACTAGAAAGGTAACCTGGTGCCAAACTAAAGAACTAAGCTATGCCAAAACTTGTTTCACACCTACTTGAACAGCAAGTCACTCATAGTAGTACAGATTTAGAATGGTTTCCACACTACCCCTACATTTCACACTTTTGATCATTCACTATCCAAGTTTTAAAAAAAAAATCTGCAAAAGGTTCTTTTTTGAAAACTGCTTCACATACTTGGTCACATGATTTTGTAACACTTGATTTGCTTAGAATCACACATTTTTAAAAAGTGTTTCATAGAGTCTTGCAGCAGAGATCAAATGGCAACTTCATTTCACTAGATTCTGTAGTATGTCAAATGCTGTTTTGAAAGACCTCATTCCCTTCTGGCTTAGAAGTCTCAGTAGCATGAATGATGCCTTGAAAGTGAAAGATTTGTGTGAGTTGACAAATATTTGAATTGCCAAGAGAAAATCTATACTGCAACATGAGTATAAAGGCGGATATAAGTATAAAAAAGCTCCCGTTGGTTTTCTGCAAATTACACATTAACCGGTAGCTGTGTTTTTAATATAACACACACCACATTTTTATCATCTACTTAAGTATTCTTATGCAACCACAATTGGTTCAGTAGCACTAACCAATGACTAGGGGTTCCATGTTGCAGTCCTTCACTCACACAGGTAACCCCCACAATGAAGTCAGCAAGATTTTGCTCAGTTCAGAATGACCGGACCTGGCCCTATAATTATTTTTCAATGTGTCTACTACAACTTCCAGTTGTAACACCTGTTACAAAGCTGCACAAATGTGAGGACTTGGGTAGAATTTCCAGCACAAATGGTGAGAGATTGCAGGTATGACTGCCAACCCACTCCCCATATGAATTCCACCTACGTGCACAAGACAGATCTTCAGACCTGGTGGTTTTCACGACAGACATTCCCCCCCCCCCATGTACACACTTGTTCAGGGGTACCCAACCTGGGGGAACGTCACTACAGCTCTCCCCACCTCCAGTCTTGGAGAATTTTGGGACTCAATTCTCCCCAACAAGTAACAAAGAGCTAACGGGACACGAGGGGACCCTGCATGGAGTGGGGACGGGGACGGGGACAGGGTCTGGCGATCATGGGAGCCTGAAGGGAAGGCTCAGGGTGGACAGATGAGGGAAGGATGCAGTGGGGGGCGCCTACAGACAGATCTGTCACTGCAGGGGACTGGGGGCAGGGAGACGAGGGAAGCCTGCGGGGGTGGGGCGGGCAGATGAGGGCAGCCTAAGGGGGGGCGAGGCTGGGGTGTCTGTCCCTGCAGGGGGGCCAGGGACGGGTAGGTGAGGGCAGACTGCGGGGGTAGGGGCGGGGCTAGGGTCTGTCTGTCCCTGCGGGGGGTAGACGAGGGCAGCCTGCAGGGGCATGGATGGGGGGCCCGGTGCCAGCCTGAGCCCTGGCCATAGGGCCTCCCCCCCGCCGCCGCCCTGTCACTCACCAGCCGGCCGAGACCCCGCCCCTCCCGCTCAGACTGTCTAGTGTCGGTGACACTAATCGCGCCGTCTCCCAGGCCCCGGCGCATGCGCAGGACCCCGGTCCCCCTCCTCACTCCCTCCCCCGCATCGGCGAGACAAGCGCTGACAAGAGAACAAACCTCCCCAAACACAGCTCGCGCGCGCGCGCGCGCGCCCGCCCTGTCTCGCGCGCGCCCCCGGCGCAGCGCGCGCAGCCTCTCCCACCCGCCGCCTCGGGCCTGCCTCACCTGCGCCGTGCCGTCCCCTCCCCTCCCGCGGCTCTGCGTCTCCGGGCCGGGGGGGGGCCGTCGTTCTCGGCCCCGGCGGGTTCCTCTCCACCTCGCTCCGGTCTCCTCCCCCCTCCACTCCGGACACAGCAACGGCCTCGCCGGCAGCAGGAAGTGACGCCATCGTATGGCGGCCAATCAGCGGGGTGGGTGGGGACGAGAAGAGATCCCTCCCGGGATGCGAAACTCCTAGCCAATCCCAGGGCGCCATTCGCTGCCCTGAGCGCTCTGAGGCGTAGCCTTAGCCAGTCAGCCATCGGTTTGCTGATAACACCGCAGTGCTCCAGGGGGTTTATCAATAAACTGCTCGCTGATTGGACATGTCCTCCATAATCCAATCAGAACGTGATTTCACTGCAGGCTGAGGCTCAGGAGCGCCCCCTTCCCTCCCAACCAGAACTGCAGCCTCCCAAGAGCTTCAGCGCTCGCCCACTTTAGGGCTTCCCCCTTTCTCCCTTACCCCACGTTCATTGGCCTGGCATCCCACCCTGGCCATCCTGAGCTGGACCCCAATGCACCCACCATCCTGCAGGACCAGCCAGAGCCCCACATCAGAGGCCAGAGCCTGTCAAAGCAGGATGGAAACTCTGCACTCACGCTCATCAGAGGCCTAGGTACCAGGGCTTGGAAAGCGATGCTCCAGGGTGTTTTCCAGCCGGCTGTAAAAGCAGAACTGTTGCCAATCCCAGACGTTCAAAAATCATGAGTCAGGCTCCAAAAATCATGAAGCTGTATTAGAAATCATGAGACTCTTTTAAAAAAATTAACATTGCGTTATTTTCCTTTGCATTCTGGTTTTTGAGCCTTTAGGCTGCACTTGAGTCATGTTCCCAAGGTTCATCTGCATTTGTGAAGGCCACAAATTTGCTTTTTAATAAAAATGAAAGCTGAGATTTTCATATAATTCTGCGCCTGCAGGAGCTGGGGCTGGAAGGGAAACATCAAAAATTGTGAGATGCATGATAAAAATCACAAGAGTTGGCAGCGCTTCACTAAATAAGTAAAAACCTATCCATAAATGATTGTTAAAGTCTTCCAGAAGCATAATTCAACCCATTCCACAAACAGGAGAAAATTCTCGGGCCTGACTGTAACTACCAACTGTATTGATTGGGACAAACCGCACGAGAAAACAAATAGATTTAAAATTGTTATTAAAGATAATGTTAAAATTATCTAATACACATGTTAAGAAAACAGTTTCTATATATCTGAGTATAATGCTTAAATTATATAAAAGTACAAAGTTTGGTTTAAAAGTCATAAAATATAAAACATAAAAACATACTGTATATAATCTGTAATATCCCAAATTAAGGTTAATAAATGTAATGATACCATTAAAATATTAGCATCCAAATATTTGGGTACATCACTCAATAAGTTATACTAAGAGTAGCTTGTGGAAAGCAAATATAGCAATGAGTATAGATTGTCCCAGTACCAGGCATTCCTCTCCAGCACCAATAATGGCTGCAGAGAACAAGGACGAGTTTCTCCTCCCTTATTAATATTCAGAAAATAATACAACATTTAGAGCCATCTTAACTAAAGCAGCTTACAAATACATTAGATGAAAGTTTAAATCAACCATGCATCAGACATTGGGAAGAACAGATACAAAAATACTAATAAGCCAGACCGCTAGAAATCCCTGCACAGAACTAACACAAAAAATTGCTTTAAATCCCAGCCATTAAGACACAGACCCACTGTCGGTAATGAACCAGTTTGCTACAGTAGACAGGTCCTTATAAAATTACACGCCATGTTGGATGCCAATATGTAACAGCACTCTCCTCTCCTTCCTCCATTTGGGTCTTCAGCAGGGTTTGAATCTCAAACTTCAGCACTAAAGCAATGAGCTTTTATCATTTGAACTGAAAAAAGTAATAATTCCATTGGTTGGTAGCAGCAGACTCTATCCTCTTGCACGAACCAGCCAGTAGACAGGAAGAAAAATTAACATTGCAGTGCGAGCAGGATTTTCTTCCTTCCATCCATCGTTGCAATGTGCTGTGTCAAGGTCTTCCAATGGATGCCAGTAATTTCACAAATGACATCATGCAATATAGGTCAAGAGGAGCAGTGGTAGCTCCCAAAGGATTTTGCAAGCTTGAGTTCAAGTATCTGTACAGTGTGACTTATTTTAAAACAGAAATAACACAGTGTCCTGCTTCTCTGTGATCTAAAATAAGCTTACCTCAACCATAGGCTCCGAAGTGACAGACTGACATAGGCTGTGACAACAAGAGGAGACAATGGCTATGGGCACCATCTATCATTCAGCTTTTCCCTCCCTTCATGCAGATTGTTTTAATTCACTTCTTAAAGAATCAGCAGCCTGCAGCCAATGAGACTCATCAACATCTATGATAGTCTCTAAGGTGCCACAAGAACTCCTTTTCTTTTTGTGAATACAGACTAACACGGCTGTTACTCTGAAACCTGTCATCTATGATAGTTACCTGTATCTGGATATATTATTCCTAGAATTGTTTTGTATTGCTATCCAAAGACACCTCATATCTCTTATCTTATTAATATCAAAATTCTACCTAATATCCTTTGTCTACACTTTTTTCCTGTTGGCATGACAGAAAACTGTTGGTCTAGAAAGCTGGTCTGGGGGACACACACTCCAGTTAACATGTACCCAAAGACTGGCCACTACGATGTTCTTTGAAGAATGTTAAAAGTTGACTGTTAGCCAAGTGATAGTTGTAAGTAGACCAACAACTGTCCCTAGAGAAAGGGGGTATATGTGTGTGAGGGGACCTCAACTGGAAGCAGAGTGCTTAAGGATAATATTGACAACTATTTATGTACATTTGGGAACAGGAAGAATCATTAGTTGTCAAATAGGGATGTGGTTTCGCAAAAGAACAGATGGCAAAAAAGGAAATAACTATTCTGGACCGGACTAAGCTATGGTGCAGCCCCAAATGATAAAAGAGGCTTTTGAAACAAGAGTTCAAATGAGCTCTGGTGAAACAGGGTCTCCTTTCTCTCAAACGCACCCTTCCCCCCGCCCCCCACACTCTGCCTTTCTTCCTGAGAGAGACACCTCAGCTCTTGCTTAAGATGGACAGTTTAAAATTGTGGGTCACACTCATAAAGTTCAGCCCTTCAAATAATAAATATAATGGGGCAACTCCTGAAGTTCTTAGTAAACCAGGCACAACTTTGACTGAAATTAAACAGCAATGAACAGCAGACGGGGTCTCTTTGCGAAAGTGTTATTGACCAAAGGACGCAGATGGTGGTAGGTCTGTTGCCAAGCGATCTATTCGGTCAGTGTGTTATGTTTGATTGTAATAGTCTCCCGACATTTGCCATGTCGTGGTAAGTGGACGTACTTCCTCGGAAGCTCTTCAGAAGCTTGCTCCAACCCTGCTGTATTTAATGCAGATACTGCCCACGGCTTGCAATTCCTCTTGTCCTCTTAGGGTTGACACAAGGCACAAAACTGGTTACAAAAATATCACTGTCCGCAGAAGATGCAGAGGCGGCCCCAGAAATGAGACGGCCCCAGGCCCCCTTTCCTCGTGAATCGGAGCAGCTGCGAGCCCGAGGCAGGGGGAGACCAGCGCTGAGCGGCCCGCGGACCGGCGCGCCGACCCGGCGGCAGGGCAGCTCTCCGCCGCGCAGCGGGCCACTGAGCGCAGCGCAGGGCCCGGCGGGGGGCGTCTCCAGCGCCGTGCGCCGGCCGGCGGTAGGCGGCGATCGCGGCCGGGGCGGGGCGGGCCGGGAGGCGGTCTCCAGCCGGCCGCGAGGAGCCGCGCCATGGCCGCTGCCGCCCGCTGGTGCTACCGGGGGGACCCCCAGGAGGCCCAGAGCGCCCCGCTCGGTAAGAGCCGCGCCCCAGAGGCGGGGTGGAGCAAGGGCCGCGCTCGCCCGTGCGCCCCCGGGCCGTGGCTGCGCGGCCTCCTGCGCCACGCGGTGCGCGGGGGCTGCCCGGCCAGGGGCGCTGCTGTCCCACGCCCCCCAGCCGCCGCCGCCGCCGCCCGGGAGTCGGGGCACCGGCCGCGCAGCCACCCACCCCCCCCCGCCCTGCACGGGTCTCGCCGGGGCTGTCCGGGCTCGGGGTGGGCGTGTAGCCGGGGGCAGCCCAGTGCCCGGCTTCATCTCAGAGACATTTGCTGGCTTGGTGGGTTTCATCCTTCCCAGCTGGCCCGTGGGATCTCCCCGGGTCCTCCTGAACGAAGGCTGCAGACCCCACCTTGGTCGGATTAGTCCTTTCGGTGGGCTGCTCCTTCCTCCTGCTTGCCCGGGAAGGGAAGCGCTCTGCTGACCTCAGGGGGGAAGCCCTCTCCCTGGCCCGTTGTTCGGCGTCTGTAGCTGATGTCTGTGAGGACTGAGGTGCTACACTGGCCTGGCATGCGCCACCGTGCAGCTGAACTCAGTTTTTGGAGGCATGACCAAATGTTAACCTGTGGGATTTCAAGAAAAAAATGCAGAATTTTAGCTATTAAATACATTCTTAAAAATAATCAACCCTAAATTAAAGTCAGTGAAAGACAAATAAAGCTAGAAGGCAGTTTTCTGGAGGGCAGGCTGCTTGTCTCTAAGCTGCTCCTTTGCTGTGTTTTGACACCAGCCTTGTTATTACAGTGTGTTTTTTGCACTGTGCTGCATTCAGGCCCTGCTCCAAGAAAGCAAATGAGTGAATGCGTGTGCGCGGTCCCTTTGAAGTCTGCAGTCAACATAGATTCATGAACATAAATATGTGTGGAACATTATACGAATAGTCTCCAACTGTTAAAGTTAAATTCAGGGAGCAGTCTATATTCAAAAGATTGTTGAAATTCATAGATTCCAAGGCCAGAAGGGACCATTGTGATCATCTAGTCTGACCTCCTACATAACACAGGCCAAAGACTTGTCCCACAATAATTCCTAGAGCAGATCTTTTTGAAAAAACAACTCATCTTGATTTCAAAATTGTCAGTGATGGAGGAATTGTACGCTCTTCCGGGTCTGTTTCTGATTGTGTTTGTACAGCTCGTAGGACAGTGGTCCCTTATCTCAGTTGGGGCAAATAGCAGAATCTTTCAAATCATGTCTGATGAGATCCTTCTGTAGTGTCAAGCTTGGTCTAGCCTTGCCAGGGAGAGTCTATGGCATCTTACTCAGGACAAATTACTGACATCTCAGGTTTAGTGACCCTCCGTTTGCTCTACACCCGTAGCACAATAATAATGTCCTGTTTATGCTCGGAAATTGAGTGGAATAACCATTGCAGAGTAAACTGTTCTGCAGTAGATATTCCAGACTAACTTCCTGCGTGGATACTGTGCCATGAGAAAAGTCACTTTATTCCAGAATAATTAGTTGGCTTCCAAAGTGGAGTAATTATTCTGAAAAAAAAAAAAAACACTTGTATTCTGAAATTAACTCTGATATAACTCAGGCTGCCCAAAATTGTCATTAAGAACAACCTCTTTCCTGGCATTCTTATAAACATTTTTATTTTAAACATAGGTTTACCTTTGTCTGTACTGTTTCAAATGCTTTCTCCTTACAAATTTATTACAGTTCAATTTTCAAATGGAAAACTGCAGAATTCTGAAAACATGGATTTTACTTTATACAAAAGCAAAGACGCGACTAATCCCAGAAAGAAACACCAAAGAATCTTGGTAAGTTTGTTTGTCATTGTACAAGAGTTCTGCAGTGAAACATCAGATCCCTGTTTATTATCAGGTTTTTGTCTTTGTCAGTCAGGATGTTTTTGCCAAGAAGTATTGAAAAATATGTCAAGGGACACTGAAATAAAAAATCTCACTTTTGTATATTTTTGTAACCTGCTACTGTTGCAGGTGTAACACCTAAGATTACAAGAAATGAAAGATATTGTATGGATATAAAATATGTAGCATTATAATGACTAACACATTTTGAATGATTGTTAAATCTTTTGCTTCAGGTTTTAAGTGATTAGACATCAAGGTGAGCTCTAATGTGGTGGCAGATTATCCCTCATCTGCTATTTTGGAGTTCTTGTACCTTCCTCTGAAGTATTTGGAACTGCCCACATTTGGAGACAGATATTGGACTAGATGAATTTTGGGTCTGATCCAGTCTGTGAATTCCCATGGTGAAGGAAAATCTCTGTTTTGTATCCGGTTTTTGTTTTCTTTGTGCATTTGACATCCTCTTCATGTACAGTCATTTTCACTGGTTCTCTTGTATAAGGAGATAGGCCCCAATCCTGACATTGGATCTGCATGGCACCTCATTGTTCCCAGTAGGGTTGTCTGTGGGTCTGCTGGCATGGATCTGATTGTAGGAGCAGGGCTTTAATTGGGCTGTTGTTTTGTAGGTCTCCACCCCTACCTGCCCCAGCAGTGGAGAGGAAAACATTAAGACAAATGTGATTGTAAAGCATCATAAATTAGGAGGGGGATTTAAGCAGGTGTAGTAACTGAAGCAGTTTTTAACTAACTTTAAAAAAAAAAATTGTTTAGATTTCAAATTGGTCGTGCCCCTTGAAAGAGAAAGTAGCCAGTCATAGAATCATAGAACTGGAAGGGACAAGGTCGTCTAGTCCAGTCCCCTGCACTCATGGCAGGACTAAGTATTATCTAGACCATCCCTGACAGGTGTTTGTCCAACCTGCTCTTAAAAATCCCCAACGATGGGGATTCCACAACCTCCCTAGGCAATTTATTCCAGTGCTTAACAACCCTGACAGGAAGTTTTTCCTAATATCCAACGTAAACCTCCCTTGCTGCAATTTAAGCCCAGTGCTTCTTGTCCTGTCCTCAGAGGTGAAGAAGAACAATTTTTCTCCCTCCTCCTTGTAACAGCCTTTTGTTGATGAACCCTCTATGTGAATTAAAAACAAAACACAAACCCCAAAATTAAACCATTCCACTTTATGGTATTTTATGAGATTCTGGATATGTCCAGACCCTTATTTCAGCTTGCAGGGCAGAGAGACTGTTCTTAGCAGCAGAAATCAGACTGGATCGAGGGAAAGTGGTAGCAGAAGCTTAAATGGAAAAAGCCGCTGCTTGGAACAATGGCATCGGGGGAGAGGGGGTAAGAGCTTTTGCGTGTAGCTTTGAGTTAGCCCATCTGTGTGCCTTGTTAATATGAGGAATAGTCTGTGCACTGATACCTGGAGCTCCTCAAGTCTCTAAAAGCATGTATTCTGGAGTCTTTAGTCTACAAAACCACAAGATGTCACTGTAACCTCAGGAAGTAGTACTGAGTATTATTGTGTTGACAGGTATGAAAGCATAATTTTGCTTTGTCAAAGCAATTCATGATCAGACACAGAATGAACCTAACACCATATAGCTTACCAAACAATGTACTTCAAGTATATTAATGCCAATTATATAAAGGGATGGTAACGGGGTTCAATAATGCAGAACGCCGCAAGTTTGAATTGCTCTGGCTCATATGTTAAATGCAAAATACCACTGCAGTAATATAGTTAAGGTTACCAAATTAAACACCCAAAGTCATGGATTCTGAAAGTAATATTGACTTTCCCATGTTGCACATACTGTATATATTAGGCTATATGGTTAACAGCATACCTAATAAAAAAGTAAAGCTATTATTTGCAGAGTTGGCCGGCTAAGATGACTGCAAAAAACATGTTGCATTTTCTGATTTCTTTCATGTGTACATTTCTAACCTTAACATTTGCATTGCTGTAGTTTTTGTTATGATTGAATTCTCTTGTGTGAAAGTTTTGCTTGCATTGGCTTTAGTGGAAAGAGAAACAAGCCAAAGGCCAGAAAAGGAAAAACCTTACCTGAGTTATTGTGGAGTTACGCAGTTAGTACTACTGACTAGTATACACCTATTCAAGCACAAACTAGGTACAGATTTTGTACTGCAGATGTCCCCACGTTCTTTATTTAAATAATTTTGAAATGTAGGCCCTGATCCTGTGAACTCTTCAGAGTGGCTGATTCGCACTCAGCTGTCGGGATTGGGGACGTAAACTGACGATGCAATGAAGTTTTAAAGTTCAGTTATTTTTGAGTCCAAGGGCACATAAACAAGTCCAGTTTTTCAAAAGCGTGTGTGCATATATAATGATAGTGTGGGCTTGTGTGTATTAAAATTACATTTAAAAAACTCACTGAATTAATTTTACTCACACTACCACTCCCCCAGGAATAACCTTGGAATTGAGACAAAACACAGCAATTTTCAATGCAGGAGGAGAATTAATTTTCAGGAAGTTATGAGCAACAGTTACAATGGAAGGCTGGATGTAACTTTAACTAAAGCATCTGAAATAACACCTTAAATTTAATAGCAAAGATGGTTAATTTCTCTACATTTTTAGCTCTAACTAGTTACAGCATTTCTATTACAAACCATCGCTTTTAGGTTTAACTATTGCGGACAAGATGTTCTAGCTGTGTTTTTGAATTCCAGAGTTCACGACAATGCTAAGCCTGCTCAGAAGTTAACCAGAAATACTGTTAGCACTGTGAAGGCAATAACTTCCACGTAAAGTGTTCTTACCTTCCATTAGGTCAGTGGTTCCCAAACTTGTTCTGCCGCTTGTGCAGGGAAAGGCCCTGGCGGGCCGGGGGCGGTTTGTTTACCTGCCGTGTCCGCAGGTTCGGCTGATCGCGGCTCCCAGTGGCCACGGTTCACTGCTCCAGGCCAATGGGGGCTGCGGGAAGGGTGGCCAGTATGTCCCTCGGCCCGCGCCGCTTCCAGCAGCTCCCATGGGCCTGGAGCAGTGAACCGCGGCCACTGGGAGCCGCGATCAGCCGAACCTGCGGACACGGCAGGTAAACAAACCGGCCCAGCAGGGGCTTTCCCTGCACAAGCGGTGGAACGAGTTTGGGAACCACTGCTCTAGGTGAATGTGAAGGTAGCATTATTTACAAGGTTGGGTTCTTTCAGTCATAAGAAATGTTGTCTCTTTTAAGACTTTATTTGGGAAATATTGGTGTGTTGTTTTTAATAGAATTGATGAGAAAATTTCCCTAAAAGTAGACAAGTTAAAAACGTCTTTTGTTTGGAGAACTGGTATCTGATACCCAGAAAAAAAGAATGTAATAGCTTGGTTAGAAAGTTCGGTGCACATGGAGAATTTGTGTCACAAGTACCCCACCGCTAAAGTTATTTTTCTTTGTATTTTAGACTTCGGAGACAAACAGGCTTTCTTATGTGGGAAAAAACTTCGGCTCAGGAGTCTTGAAATGTAACTCCCTCTGCAGGTATGGGGTGTGTGCAAAGGAGGAGGGTAAAGCAGTTGTTCTGTTTACTTGATTCTTCTCTTTTCCTTTTCATTTGTGCTGTTTATAAATGCGGGGACAGATTTTCAGAAGAGCTCAGCTTTTGCTGAGGATCGGAAAGGAAGAGGGGCAGATTTTCAAGCATTCAGCGCCTTGCAGCTCCCATTGTTTTAAGGTCAGGCTTGACAAAGCCCTGGCTGGGATGATTTAGTTGGGGATCGGTCCTGCATTGAGCAGGGGGTTGGACTAGATGACCTCCTGAGGTCCCTTCCAACCCTGAGATTCTATGATTGTTCTCAATGAGAGGTGCTGAGTGCTGCTGAAAAATATGGCCATGCAATATATATGTACATCAGGTTAAGAAGATTTGGATTAAAAAAACCCCAAAAAACAGTAAGTAACATCACCGAGGAGAGACATTGATGTTGCAGAATCCAGTTTAATAAGCCACCCTTCAAATTTGGCAGAATCTGTACCTGATATATGCAGAGGATTCCTTGGTCTTCCATGATCACTGGGCAGTTGCAGGACAAAAGCTTGATAATCTTGATGATCTACTTGACTGTTCCATATACAGGTGGTACTCAACCTTTCCAGACTTCTGAACTCCTTTCAGGAGTCTGATTTTGTTTTGCATACTCCAAGTTTCACCTCACTTAAAAAAGAATTGCTTACAAACTCAGACACAAAAATACAAAAGCGTCACAGCACACTAGTACTGAAAAACTGTTGACTTTTTTATTTTACCATATATTTATAAAATAAATTAATTGGAATATAAATATTGTACTTACATTTCAGGGTATGGTGTATAGAGCAGTATAAACAAGTCACTGTCTGTATGAAATTTTAGTTTGTACTGACTTCGCTAGTGCTTTTTATGTACCTGTTGTAAAACTAGGCAAGTATCTAGATGAGTTGATGTACCCTCGGAAGACCTCTGCATACCCACAGAGGGGACACGTACCCCTGGTTGAGAACCATTGCCATACATGAGAAAGGGAAACACATATGAAGTGATGGTATTTTCATTGGGAAGGATAAGAAAAAGATAACAGATATTGGCACATCCAAGCGAATGTTAGTAGTAATAATGTTGTTTTATCAAGTCTTGCTTGATCTAGGAACTGTAAGTAAGGAAACCTCTGGTTTTGATAGAAACCTTTGGAATTAGTGGATCCAGAAAACGTCAACAGCAAATAATCCTGTTGGGTCGGTTAAGAGTATCTGTTCTTCCCTTGAGGCACACCGACATTCCCATTAATGTCAAAGGAAGTTTAATATGTGCGCAGGCAGAAGGAGGAGCATCCCTAAGAGACACTGTCAGGTCAAATTCGAGTCTAAATTAGGTTTTGTTGTGTACATAACTAGTGAGAGAAAAAGAACAAAACAAGCTTTTACATGACTTCAAGCAATAGTCCTAACAGTACAACAAGGTTTGTTGCCGTAGGAACTGGATAATAAAATCATATAAGGCCCTGATCCTGCAAAAACTTACTCATATGCTTATCTGTGAGGAATCCTATTGAAATCCATTGGTAATTGAACGTCCAGATCCCTAAAGCAGCTGTGAAAATCCTGCCTTAGATGTGGAAAGCGGATAAGACCCTAGAACTGGGTTTCTGTTCCTCCAACTAAACTGATTTTCAGGCAGATGCCTCTGGTGCTTACAACTTGAACTTTGCAGCTAGTTTTGTCTTAGATTTAGAGACAATTATATTTTACTAGAGAACCTGCATTTTGGGGTCAAATTTGACGTGATGTGTCTCTTAAATTTAATATATACCAGTGGAGGATGAAAAGGGTGGACTTCAGAAATGTCTGTCAAGTCTGAGTCCTAGTCACATCTGTACTGGTAACAGACCTGCGTTGACATACTTTTGCCGATTCTGTGCCTCGTAACAATTTCCATATTGCTGGGTGGGACGAGAACAAATCCGCTCGGTTCTGGATTGTTCTGGATCATGTGAGAGTGGAGCAGGGACAAGGGACTTCTAAACTTGAGTTTCCTGATGTGCTTGGGTTCTAGAGGAGTCGATTAAAAGCAAGTCCCTTTCTGCTACTCACCATTTTGTTAAGCAGCCCAAGAGTGGCTGTAGCAGGAAATCCAGGACTCAGATCGTCTAAAAGGTGAAAGAGATTGATTACATGCAGGTCATGGGGTTTTGTTCTCCTCTGTCTCAAATGAAACGAGGAGAGCTGCGACTTTAATTGTGACAGAACTTAATTTACAACACTGTCACTGCAACAAGACTCTGGGGGCGGTTTTATGCTTGTGTCTGGAGAATTCAATTGAGACCCAGTTAGTCTAATGAACATCTATGCTACAAATATCAGTGATATGCAATTTTATACCAGCGTAGGACTCCATCTCGGAACACTCATATCGTTGGGCATGATTAAGAGACCGTTTTAATGATGTAATCAATCCTTGGAACAGCTGCTGCAGAGCCCTAGACATGTGCCTGGCTAATGTGAGGCCAGTTCTTGAAGCTGGAGGGGTGGAAACGTAGCTTCCTTAGGTGTGAGGACACCTGGCTAGTCTGAGTAGGGTGCTCTTTCTTTCTGTGGGTTTTTCTTTGTTTAGAGGCTTCAGACCCCATCCCTTTTTTTATTCCTTTCCTCTCCATTCAACTTAGTGTGACTCATTCTTTTTGTCTGGTTCAGGGGCAGGCAAACTTTTTGGCCTGAGGGCCGCATCGGGTTTCAGAAATTGTATGGAGGGTCGGTTAGGGGAGGCTGTGCCTCCCCAAACAGCCAGGAGTGGCCCGGCCCCTATCCGACCCCCCTGCTTCTCGCCCCCTGACGCCCCCCCTCCCCCGGGACTCCTGCCCCATCCAACCCCCCCTCTCCTTCCTGACTGCCACCAGAACTCCTGCCCCCATTCAACCCCCCTGTTCCCCGCCCTCTGACCGCTCCAACCCCTATCCAACCCCGCTCCCTGCCCCCTTACCGCGCTGCCTGGAGCACCGGTGGCTGGCGGTGCTCCCAGCTGCTCTGCCCGGCTGGAGCCAACCACGCACCGCGCAGCACAGAGCACCGGGCCAGGCCGTCGTTCTGCAGCTGCCCTGCCCCAGGAGCTCGCAGCCCCCGCCCGGAGCATTGCGGCGGTGGTGCAGCGAGCTGAGGCTGCGTGGAGGGGAAACCGCAGGCGAGGGGCCGGACTAGCCTCCCCAGTCAGGAGCTCAGGGGCCGGGCAGGACGGTCCCGCGGGCCGTAGTTTGCCCAACTCTGGTCTACTTGAAGGAGCTACCAATGGGGTTGCGGTTCTCCACAACCCAAAGACCAGGCATTGCCTCCATCAAGCTTCTAGCAGTTACTCGTCCATAGTTGTTCCTGAAATGTCCCAAGTTTTATTAGCTACTAGACTTGTATTTTTGCTCTTAGTCCCTGTCTAAACCCTGCAGAGACACTGAATTCAATTTGAAGCGGCTTATGTCGCTTCAGCTTAGCTCGATGATGCACTGTTGAACTGAATCAGTTTGAAATTATGCCTTTAGTTGAACTGCTCCCGTGAAATAGACAAGACAGTAGAGAGAATTTCTCCCCCAGCTCAGCACACCTGAATGCCTGGTGTCATGCTGTAGCCATACTTGGTCCTCACCAAGTCAGTTCCAGTTTTAAAAATGGCAGAGGGGGGCAGATCCAGCACAAGCCAGCTGAAAACCTTGCCAAACCCAACATTAAATGAATGTCCTAGGCTGCCAGGTGCATGAGAGAAAGATCCAGCCTGGTCCTCAGAGTTAGGCGAAAATAGGAAAAACACACATTTTCTCAAGCCATGCGCGTCTGGACAGCAGCAAAGTGAACCATCCATCTTATCCCTCTGAACTGCTGGCCGGAAAGAAAGGGAGGGCTAGATCTCTTTAAAATGAGCTACTTTGGTCCTGCAAAAAAATCTGTTTTCTCAGTAGTGGAGAAAGTAGAGTCAGTTTCTGGGATGCTGTCAGACTTAAGCTTTAGTGTAGACATGCGTATATGCTGGCATAGCCTCCTAACATAGATACAGGTTAAACCAACAGAAGGAGTCTTTCTTTCAGTGTAGGAACACTGCCTCCCCAAACAGAAGCACTCTTCTGTTGGCATAGCTGCGTCTATACTGGGGGTTTTGTCATCATAGTTATGTTGGCTGGGGGTGTGATGTTTCACACCTCTGACTAATGCAGCTATGCTGGTGTTCGTTTTAAGTGTAGCCCAAACCTTAGGTTCAAGGGGCCATTAATAATCAGAGAACGGCCACGTGGAATCTGAGCTTTAAAAAGAGCCATCCAATCTTTAATTATTTGCTTGAGAACGAAGTCAGCATTTGAAATATCTTTATCCTTTAAATTCCAGATAGTACAGATCCTGAGCCCAGGGAGCCCTAGAAAAACGTCATTCTTAAGCTTCTGAAACCAGACAGTGCACCTAATGAGATCCTGCTTAGAGGAGCTGTTAGGATCCCTGCAAATACATACAAGAAAGAGAATAGAATATGACAGTTAAGCACCTCAATGCTCATTCTGTGTGCCTGGAGGCTAATTTAGATGCCTTCATTTGAGACTTCAGGGTTAAAAATCAGGCCTCCTATGTGGCTTTTATGGAACTCATTTTACTGTGAAGTTCTAGTTGTTGCGATGGAAAAAATCGGTCCCTGCTGGGGACAGGAGGGAGAAGGAGGGTCATGAAGAGCACTGGGCCATATAATATTGCTAATGTATTTCACTTATGATCATCTCTGGTTAATCATCCCTCACTCTGCTCTCCACAGGTACTTTGTCGGTGTGTTAGATAAGGACGCTGGACAAATGGAAGTCTATAATGCTGAATTATTCAACATGCAGCCGTTGTTGTCAGGTAAGTAAAAGACTGAACTCTGCCACAGACGGCACGGTACATCGGCACTCCGTGTGCATTTCACTCCGTCTGCTGCCTACAGTTTGGCTCCTATCTCCATCAGTCCAATGTCACAGATATTCTTAATGGTCCCTGAGTGAAAGAGCGCAAGCGGATTGGAGAATGCCCCCATAATACACTTTTTTTCCGGTGCTTTAACGAGCTAGCTACAACTCTCCCTTTTACTGTTTTCCACGTTGCAAGCTATGAGGTAATATTTAGGAAGTGTTTGTGTGTGGGTGGTGGTGGTGGTGTGGGGGGGAGTTAGAGTAAATCAGGGTGGAAGGTGGAAAACGTTGAACTTAATCCCAATCAATGGTTTCAGGTCGTGTTTTGGTGTTATCGTCCTTTGTGTCTTCTGCTTAGGAGAAGGCTAGAACTAAACAGGCCCAGAGACTGAATCACCACTTTCTGGGAAATAAAATAATCCCTGGCAGCACAGTTCTTCAGCAGGGCTGCTTTTATTGCCGCAAGCCTAGAGGAAAATACTGAGTATCCCCAATGAATTGTTTCCTTGGTGCACAAGGTGATCCTGATGTTGGTATAATCCAGGACACACCTTTTCTGATGTATCAAACCAAAGTCTGAATGCTCTTTGCAGTAACACGACTGCCCAGTCTCTGTCAGATGCTGTCTAGCATCTCAGTTTATCCTTTTTTAAATTCTCGAGTATCAGGTGTGAGAACCTGCGCACTTGTTTGCCGGGTTCTGGCACAGTGTGAATGAAGACACAGTAGCACAGTTATACCTATGTGTACTCATTTTTGGTCTTTTTGTAGATGATTTAATAGATGACGACCCGTCAGAGTATCAGAATAAATCCTACAGAGAGAAGGTAAAAGTTTTGTTTTCCTAACATAATCACCGGGCTACCCTCAGCAAACGATCCTAGTCTAGAAATGGTTTGTCCACGTTTGCCATTAATGGGTGTAGTTCAGCATTTTTAGTATGTTCGGAAGCTGGGCAATAGATTTGAAGTGGTGTAACAGCAGCAGTTGTATCCTTATTGTAGCTTTGGTGGTGGTTCTATGAACTGGCTAAACGTTAAATAGACTAATGGCCACCAAAAGATTGGGGTGTGTTCGCCGATTTATTTTAAGTTTACCTAGAGCATGTTCACAAAGAACAAGTTTAGTCTGAATTGTTCTTTGACAGGGTTCGTGGCCTCGTGGGGGGAAGCGGTAGACATGCAAAGTACGCAGCTGTGTAGGGCACCAGGATAGCTAGGGACGGCCCTGGCGGAGGACATGATATATCTCGCTTTTTAGTAAGGGTTTTGGCACAGACCCGCATGATGTTCTTATAAGCAAACTAGGGAAATGAGGAATATATTAAATTACTATTAGGTGGGTGCGCTGCTGGTTGAAAACATCATATTCAATGAGTAGTTATCAATGGTTTGCTGTCAGACTGGTAGGCTGTATCTAGTGGGGTCCCACGTGGTTCATTCTTGGATCCAGTACTAGTCACTATTGTCATTAATGACTTGGATAGTGGAGTGGAGAATATGCTTATAAAATCTGTGGATGACACCAAACCGGGGGGATTGGAGGAGGGGTTGCAAGAACTTTGGAGGACAGGATTAGATTTCAAAAGGACTTTGACAATTTGGAGAATTGGTCAGAATTCAGCAACATGACATGAAATAGAGACAAGTGCAAAGTACTTCACTTAGGAAGGAAGAAACAACTGCACAACTACCAAGTGGGGAGTCAGTGGCGAGGTGGTGGTACTGCTGAGAAGGATCTGGGTGCTGGACTGGCTCACAAACTGAGTGAGGCATCAGTGTGATGCCATTGCAAAAAACCCTGTTATGCTGCGGTGTATAAAGAGTGTCCTGTGTAAGACATGGGAGGTCATTGTCCTGCTCTGGTGAGGCCTCTGCTGGAGTCCTGGGTCCAGTTCTGAGGGACGGAGGGGGAAGGGCACGCTTTAGGAAGGATGTGGACAAAGTGAGGAGAGTCCAGAGGACAGCAACAAAAATGATAAAAGATTTAGAAACCTGACTTTTAGGAAAGATTAAAAAACTGTTTGTTCTTAAGAAAAGAAGAATGGGGGGGGGACCCTGATAACAGTCTTTAAATCTGTTAAGGGCGGTTACAAAGAGGATAGGGGATCCATTGCTCTCCATGTCTGCTGCCGGTAGAACAAGAAATAATGAACTTAATCTGCAGCAAGGGAGATTTAGGTTAGGTAGCAGGAAAAACTTTCTAACTCTAAGGGCGGTTAAGCTCTGGAAGAAGCTTCCAAGGGAGGTTGTGGAATCCCCTCACTGGCGGTTTTTAAGAACAGGTTGGACAAATCCCTGCCAGGGATGGTCTAGGTTTACTTGGTCCTGCCTCAATGTTTGGGGGCTGGAGTTGATAACTTATTGAGGTCTCTTCCAGCCCCATAGTTCTATTATTCTAATCCTTAAATGTAGACAGACGGCAGTTCAGCAGTGACTTACGCATGTGACTTATGCATGTCCTTAATTTTATGCATGGTGGGTGTTCTCATGGAAGACAAGAAGACTACTTGCAATGTGTAAAGTTAAGCATGTGCATAAGTCTTTGCAGAATCAGGGCCTTAATCACTATCTCGGAGAGGGAAAAAATACATTTTTATTCCAATGTAAGTCTGTTGTTACTTCTTTTTAGACCCTACACTTTGTAGCTATAACCTGATCACCCTTTTGGACGCTCAAAGCAAAAGTGAAATTTACAATTTTTAATAAAGGAGCGCTAGCTTTCCCAACCCTCTGCATTTAGTTACTGTACATCGAATAGAATCTCTGTTTATGGATTTTGTCTAATGTTCCATTAGTTGATGGCCCTCTTACAAATAGGCATTAGGCCATGGTCTTGTGGTCAGATCCAGGCAGGCAGACACCACTGTCAGCTTGGGGTCTGAAACCAGTGCACTCCCACAGATTTGCCCATGGAGATCCATTTGCAGGATCATGGTCTTAGTTCGCAGCTTATTGTTCAGATTCACTAGCACTTGGTCACTGCGGGGGCATACTGAAAATCATGCCTCCTCTCTTTTTGTTTCTAGTGACTCATTCATTCCGTACTTGTTAGTTTTTGCTTTTTTTTAAAAAAAAGCCGTCTCTGCCTTGGACTGGACTGTAATCTAAAGGCTGAGTTTTCCTTTCATTCATACTGGTTAACACCAGTAGAGGAGCACCGCTGTAACTGGGCAGCGAATTTGGTCCTACAGATCTGTGACATGTGTTTCCTTTCCTTTGAAAGGTAGAATCCAATAGCAGCCCGTCCTATTCAGGGTGCATTATCTCCTGCTTCCCTCCAACACCTTCCAAAGAGCATACCTCCGTCTCTAGGTACAGTAACTTGGATCGGTTTCTTGTGCAGGTGGATTCGTGTATTGAAGCCTTTGGCACCAACAAGCAGAAGCGAGCCCTGAACTCTCGAAGGATGCACCAAGTTGGCAGTGAGACTTTAAATGTGGCTGTGACAAAAGCAGCCGAAAACATCATAGAGACAAAAGGTGTTGCTGGTAAGTAACAAGAGTGATGCAGAAGAGCAGCAGCAAGCCTCCCTGTTGGGTTTTTGGAGACTTGCTAATTCATTGTGTCTATTCCCTCCTCTAATGTATTCAGAGGATTCTCCCACCTCAAGGGCTAGGGGAGGGAGAGGCGGCTTTGCCTTGAGTGTTAAATGAAGCAGAGTGGTGAACTCTATAGTAGTGGCATTGGAGAAATTTGAGCAGCTAGAAACTAACAAACGACCATTGTGGGAGAGAGTCGTGCAGCCGTCTCTGCTAGAAGCACACCGAGATCCAATCTTCTCGTTCTGATCACAGTGCTTATAACTTGGTAAATCATACGTTCTCTTCCTTGCCCAGCTCAACTCTCTGGTAGCAGAGCAGAGGGTCCTGGAAAGTTATTCTCTCCATCTGTTCTGTGAGCTGTTCGCATAGAACATTCGTTTACAGAACCTGTCAGACTTTATCCTTTAAAGAATGATACCGCATCAGGCCGGCATAAAGGACCAGCTGACCTCAAAGCTTTAAAACCGACAAGCTAAGTCACCCTGTCAGTCCTGCGGGTCTGGGCTTCGGATCAGACGAGCAGCAGAAGCGAAGGCTGCTCTTGCTCCAGTTCCACAGTATTGTGTCGCCGTGTTCTTTCGTGCTCCAGATGGGGTTTTGCAAGTCCCCAGAGTTGCAAGCAACAAAGTGATGACAGTGGCATAAAACTGTGGCGAACCACCATGGTGAATTAGGCTCTTTATTTATAGTAATATTATTTCCGTATTGCGTGGAGATTGGGGCCCCACTGTGTTAGGCGCTGTACAAACGGACAATAAGAAGACAGTCCCCATCCCTCTGTCACGAGGAGGTTTTTTAAGAACAGGTTACATAGACACCTGTCAGATGGTCTTGTATACTTAATCCTGCCTCAGTGTGGGGGCATGGAAATAGGTGACCTCCTGAGGTCCCTTCCAGGCCTCCATTTCTATGATCCAAAAGAGCTCCCAGTAGGAGAATGCACTGTGTTCTGCACACACAAGACTGCTCTTTGTACCGTAGCTAACTCTACTTAGAGTGGGGAAAACCATAGAAATTTGCAGAATCATTGTCGTGAGTTTGATTTATTAGTCATTTCAAAAGCTTCTAGTATCCCCCCCCACACACCATACCGCATTTCGAGCTTTAAAACTCTAACCAGAAGAGTTCTTGGTTTTTAACTAAGAATTCCCTTGGCACAGACAGACACTAAACACGAGCGTTCACTTTGCGGTTTTGTTCACGTTAGCATTGGCTCAAGCACTCTCTCATCTCCGGCTTGCTTTGAAAGCTTTAGTCAGTGACGCCGCTCAGGATGACGTGCAAGATGTCTCCCTCTTCCTACCTCCCTGCCAGGAAGATGCTGACAGACCAGAGAACGTCTACAGGTTTGAGGACAGTATCCTTTATGGGGCAGGGCACTGCTTTACCCAGCTGAAAATACTGAGTTAAAGGAAAGGGCCAGACTCAGGTGAGCAGCAGAGTTGTGTGTCATTTGAGAGGAGTAATTTCTGTTCGTGACCAAAACGCTGGGGACAGAAGATTTGAGAGTGTGCCTTAGGGCTTTGGGCCTAAAAGTCACATATCCTGCCTTTTGAGCGGCTTCTCCCAGAGGAGATGCTTTGGTGCCTTCCCCTGTGTGAATGTGAAGTCGATGTCAACTGTAAGTGTTATGAAGGGTATTATGGGGAGCAAAGGGTAGAATTTGGACTGTGGACCCAAGTACCAGAGGAGATGCTTCATCATGAAATCAGAACTTACAGGGACATTAATCTTGGCTGGCTTCCAGTCCCTGTGATTGTTCCTCTACAGTACATCTCCCCGGGCTGCGTTATTCAGACATACTGTTCTTCGCTGCTCTAAGATATTAGTGGTGGTGGTTGCTGTGAGCAGTTGCGCAATGGATGAAGTCAGCCCTTTGTGTAATGTAAATCTACATGACTTGCCTACCGTACAGGGCTGTTGTGAAACTTAATGGTCGTTAAGGGCTTCTAGATCCTCAATGGGGAAGAGCACAGTGTTCTTTATGATTTCTTAAAATCTCTCCAGTCCTCTCCCCTGCCGAATATGAAGCACTGCAGACTCCAGCGGCAGCTTTCGTTAGCATTACTCCTGAGGCGATCCTTAAGAAGACAGAAGAGAAAAGGTAAGGCTTATTGATGGGGCAAATATAGTGGTCAGTTCCTTGTAATGAAATGAGTTGAAAAAATTAGTAGCTTCTAGCATGAAGGAAAACACCTGTAGAACCTAGTTGACACGTAGGAAGCTGTATATACCTGGTGGAATTTCCAGACAGATTTCATTAGAATTATTCTGTTTCATCTGATGGACCAGTAGCCCCAGGAATCAGCAGATACATAAGGTCAGTGCTGTTTCAAAACCCTGTTAGCCAACTGGAACCAGATCACTAGATGAAAGAATTAGACATTTAACATTCATGGAGGATAGGTCCATCAGTGTCTATTGTCCAAGATAGCCAGGGATGCAACCCCATGCTCTGGATATCCCTAAGCCTCTGACTGCCAGAAGCAGGACTGAAAGACAGAGGAAGGATCACTCGATAAATTTCCCTGCTCTGTTCACTCCCTCTGAAGCATCTGGCACCGGCCACTATTGGCCGACAGGATTCTGAGCTAGATGGACCATTGGTCTGACCCAGTATGGCCGTTCTTGTTCTTATTAACATTTTCTGCTGTGGCTGTTAGGTTTATCTTTGTTCCAAAAAGACTCATTTCTTTCTTAAAATAATATGTTCAGTGATGTAATAACAGCCTCTTAACGCTGACTTCAAAGTTGTGGTTCCTACGGTGGATAAGATGAGCCCCTTCATTGTTGTGTTCTCTTTATCACAAGGTGGGATATAACCTGAATTGTGAACCTGGAATATAACCTGATCTGGGAACTCTGCCCCAGTGGGAGGAGTTGGAATCTAGGAAGCAGGCTGAGGGATGACTGCAATTTGCGGCGTGCATCTGTGTGTGCAGAGTTTATAACAGTGAGAGCTGGGGGACCTAGGAAACAGCCAGAAGCCAAAGGCAGAGTCTCCGCCGGCTTGTTTAGGTGCAGCCAGGATGGCTGCTGTTTGGGGGAATGGGAATAAGAGAAGTGTAAGGAACTTGCTAGCAAATAGGAAGAGATGAGGTAGGATAGGTAAATGTGAAAAATGCAGGGGGCCAGAGGAGGGAGCTGGGTGGGAAATCCCAGGGTTTGAAGACTAGCAAGGATATTAAAATGAACAGGAAGCAAATGGTGATTCTGAGCATGGTGGGCAGATGGCCCCATTCTGGGCACTGTTCTAGACAAGCTGCTGAACAGGGAATGCATTGAAGTTTGGAGAGTCTAGGCTAGGGGGAACCATAAAGAGGAGATGAAAGGCCCACATAGACCTTGGATGGATGCAGACAGCGTTGTGCTCTGGTGAAGTTTGCGGTTAGAGTATACAGGCCCACAGGTTGGACAGATATTGTCCGCCATATTAGTATACTGTAGGATCATCTGCACTTCTTTTCAGAGCAATATCTTCCCTAGGTGGAAATGTCCTTCTCATGACTCTCCTGTCTGGTCAGAGAATACTACTCCTGCCTTTCATCATTAAGCATTAGTGCATTTAAAGGTTCTGGGTAGAGCACGACAGGTTAGTGGTTGCTCTGACAAAGGAATACACACGAGCCCAGATCCTCTGCTGGCATAAATTGGCTTTGCCATATCAAAGTTAGTGGAGCTCTGTAAATTTAAACTAGCTGCAGACTTGGCCTTATTTGTGTATTCCTTACACTCAGGCATCCCCTGTCCTAGTGTGCTGTACCCATAACCCCATTTCTTTATGCCCTTGGCTCTAAGGAATGTTCCCTCTCTTCCTTTTAGCCATTGCTCCTTCGTTCTAGAAGAACTGAAGTCCATGCCTCCAAGTGAGGACAGCTCGGACCATAAGGCACGGTGTCTGTGGTTTCTGGATGTCCTCATCAAGTTCAGTTTCCAGAAAGTGATTAAGAAGAAACGTGAGTTAATAACAGGAGCATCTCTCTGCCCTGCTTACCTTTCAGCTGTGGACTGGGGTTTGTATTGTAACTAATGGAGTCTTAAACCCAGAAAAGAAATAAAATTCCACCAAGATGACAGATGAGCTTTAACAGACAAAGGTAGCAGTTTGATCCCCATGTACACTTTTGGGCCAAGGTTAAGATTTTGAAAGCAGTCCAAGGCAGTTAGGCACAAATTTGGTGCCCAAAGCCCTTTGGAATGCTGTGAAAATCTCAACCTAAAAACACTGACGAAAAATGAACCCTTTCTCTTTCCCCACGGCGCCGGTTGCTGAATCTGCATGAGGGGGACGGGACACAAGCTTGACAGCAAGTAGTGAGATGTGTTGTGCAGTTAATGCCTCAGCAGTGAACAGAGTGTAGAACAAATCAACACGTTCGTGTCACAAACGAAGTAGAAATGGCATTTTCTTATCACTAAAATGTACGTTGTCTTGAAATTATAGAAGCCCCAATAATTCAAGACTGTAAACTTGCCATTTTCATTCATCAGGGACTTTGCCATTTTAGATCAGGGTATTGTGAAGACCAGAGTAACTCCTGTCAGAAATGCTCCAACTGAATATTTTTCCATCAGAAAATGCTGGTTCTTCGGAAACATGTCTGTTTCCATGAGATTTGGGGGGGAGGATTGGAACAGAGGATTCCAATAAGTTCCCATTTATTTTTCAACACAGTACATTTTGATTGTCTATTTTGAAATGACTTTTCATTTCAGTTTTTTTCACTTTATAAACCATAATGTGACATTTTAAAAGGTAAAAATTCAGAATAATTTTTTGGGGGTTTTATCCAAACTAAAAGTTTCAGCCTGAAACAATTTTTATTGGAAATTTCTTGTAGGAAATTTTGAAATTTTTTGTTTGGTTTTGTTTCTGGACAGAAATAATTTAGAAATCTGGTGGGAAATGCACATCTAAACTTCCAGTACCCAGCTGGCTCTTCTAATGACAGTTACTCCAGCCTTCTGCTATCATACAATCTTCCCTTTCTCCGCATGTTGCGCAGATCACTGGGAAGACCCTTGAGGCATCGACATTGAACCAAATATTCTTTCATATGTTGCTTTTTCTCACGATGTTATCAAGAAGGTCTTTTTTTTTTTTTTTTTAAAACAGATTTTTTTGTTAATTGGTTCAGAATGGTGTCAAAATCATCACCTTAGCACAGCATTGCCAACCCAACCCATTCAAAAATCATGAGCCAGGCCCCTCAGAATAAATATAAAATTATTGGGTCTAAATTAGCTGTTACCACTCAAGAAAGATCTTGGAGTCATTGTGCACAGTTCTCTGAAAACATCCACTCACTGTGCAGCGGCAGTCAAAAAAGTGATCAGAATTTTGGGAATCATTAGGAAAGGGATAGATAATAAGACAGAAAATATCATATTGCCTTTATATAAATCCATGGTACGTCCACACCTTGAATACTGCGTGCAGATGTCGTCTCCCCATCTCAAAAAAGATATATTGAATTGGAAAAGATTCAGAAAACGACGACAAAAATGATTAGGGGTATGGAACGGCTTCTGTATGAGGAACGATTAATAAGACTGGGACTTTTCAGGTAGGAAAAGAGACGACTAAGGAGGGATGTGATAGATCTCAAAAAATCATAACTGGTGTGGAGAAAGTGAATAAGGAAGTGTTATTTACTCCTTCTCATAACACAAGAACTAGGGGGTCACCAAATGAAATTAATAGGCAGCAGGTTTAAAACAAACAATAGGAAGTATTTTTTCACACAATGCAGTCAACCTGTGGAACTCCTTGCCAGAGGATGTTGTGAAGGTCAAGACTATAACAGGATTCAACAAAGAACTAGATAAGTTCATGGAGGATAGGTCCATCAATGGCTATTAGCCAGGATGCGCAGGGATGGTGTCCCTAGCCTCTGTTTGCCAGAAGCTGGGAATGGGCCACAGGGGATGGATCACTTGATGATTAGCTGTTCTGTTCATTCCCTCTGGGGCACCTGGCATTGGCCACTGTCAGAAGACAGGATACTGGGCTAGATGGACCTTTGGTCTGACCCAGTGTGGCTGTTTTTATGTTCTTAATAATGATTGGTTTAAAAACAATGAGATTTTATTTTTTTAAATAAATTTTTTGGCAGGTTTTTTTTGCTTTCTAGTTTCTGGGCTTTCAGGATCACACTTTTATGTTTTCAAGGTTTTCTCCACAATCGAGAAGGTTAGGATCTTTTTTTTTTTTTTAAATGAAAGCTGAGATTCTCATCCAATCTCCTGATTCCAGCAGCTGGAGATTTAAGAAAAACACCAAATATCATGAGACACTTGATGAGAGCTTGCAGAACTGAGGGTATCCCTTATTTACAAGTTTATCCAGCCTCACTTTATTTGTACGTTCAGTCTCCAGCCAACTTCTCCTCCATTGGTTCCAACTAACAAGCTCTTTTGAACTCTGCATCCAAAATGATCTTGCTTTTAAAGGTGCAGTAACGACAGTTCTTAAAAGCTCCACACAAAACATTTAGGTGTGGATTTTCAACGGGGATTTGGATGCATAATTCCCATTGTCTTCTGCGGAAATTGTGCTTCTCAATCCGCTGAGCAGGTTTGAAAATCTCCGCTTTAGATTTCTGTAGAAAAAACTTTCTTTAAACATTCCTCTGTTGTATTGGGAACCCAGCCACCCTGATGCATGGGAGTCCAAAAGTCAAAGTGGTATGAAATAAAAGTGAACCTCACCATTCTAAGGCCCAGTCTACACAAAAAAGTTGTCGACCCATCTACGTCGGTCAGGTGTGTGGAAAAAATCCACGCTCCTGCATGATGCAGTTAAGCTGACCTAACCCCCAGTGTAGACAGTGTGAGGTTGATGGAAGAATTCTTCCACTGATCTAGCTACTACCTCTTGGAGAGGTGGATTAACGATACCGATGGGAGAACCCTGCTTCTCAGCACAGGTAATGTCTACACTGAAGCATTCCAGCAGCAGGAGCATTTCAAGTGTAGACAACCCCTAAGTGGTGAAAAAGAAATTCAATTTTTTTTGAAAAACTATTTAAGTGTTAATAACCTTCTGGTAATGGAAACACAGATAAGGAAGGAATGATGTTGTATTAATACTTGATGTAATTTAATTTATTATTAATAATATTTTTTTAAAAAGTGCCTAGGGGTCCTCGTTCTGGACCAGGACTCCGCTGTGCGAGGCACTGTACAAACAAAGAACAAAATGACAGTCCGTAGATGGTACAGAAGCTTGCCCTACATTCTAGGGGTAAAATTTTCAAAAGCTTCCAAGTCCCATTTTCAAAAGTGACAGACCATTAGGAGCCTAAGTCTGATTGAAGTCCATGGGATTTTGGCTTGTAAACACCTAAGTCTGTTTCGAAAATAGGGTTTAAGATTGTAAATCATTTAGACACTGTTTGAAAATCTTACCCTAGAAGCTCTAAGTAGTTTGTCAAGACACTGATTTTATATATTTTTAAGTTGTTCCCTTAAAGATGTCATAGAAGCAGTATAAAACCAGCACAGTGTTATCATAGTTCTTAAGTGTTAATTTTATTGAAGCCCCATTATGTTTCAGAATGGTGTTTTATCATTTTATTGCAAAAAGCTTTTTCTTCTAGATGCAATGGGCCCCGACTGTCCACACATCATTAACAGCAAACTCATGAAAAACTTCACAGCGCTGACGTACAACAATGGCAGGTAGCGAACGGTTTGTTTTGTTTGAAATTGATGTTTGTGACACAGGAAAGTTCAGATCAAGGGATCATAACTCTGCCCATGTTATCAGGAAATCATCTCAACAGTAATATAAAGAAATCTGAATTATTGGCATCTTCCCTTCTTAATGCCTGTAGATTTCGGTCCAGAGATTTTTCTGTGTAGAAAATGGAAGGGGCTGTCACTATGCTGAGCAATCATCGGTACTTCAGGCGGTGATTGTGTGGAAACGTTGGCTCTCATTCTCCTCAGCCTTATGCCAGTGTAAATCAGGAGTGGCTCTGTTGAGGTCAGTGGAGTCACACCAGCGTGAGAGGAGACTCTGGCCCAATGGCTTGTATTTTAAAATCAGGTATTTTATTTCACATCGTACAAAGGCTGGGGGTAAAATGCTCACAAGCATCTGAGTGACTTAGAAACCCAGTCCCATTTGTAAGAGATCATGCTACTTAGGAGCTCAAGTGCTATTGAACTCACTGGGGGCTTGGGCTCCCAGGTCACTGGGGAACTACTGAAAATGCAACCCCTGACTACACACCAGTTTAACTAAAGTTGTGATTTGAAACCGAGGGCTTGGCTATACTTACATTTTATAGCGCTCTAACTTGCTGGCTCGGGGGTGTGAAAAATCACCCCCCTGAGCGCAGCAAGTCTGAGCGCTTTAAAGCGCTAGTGTGGACAGGCTCCGAGCGCTCGTGGAGGTGGATTACCAGGAGCCCTGGGAGAGCTCTCTCCCAGCGTTGGCGCGGGAGCGTTCCCACGACAGCGTTTGAAGTTTCCAGTCTAGCTCTGCCCTGAGGCAGTAAGTCAATGCAGCTTTGCACTCGGAAGCTCTTCAGTCCGTTTAAATCTGGCTTATGTCAGATTTCAGGCAGAAGTTAAACCGATAAAACCAGTTTGAAACCAATTTAAAACGTGTCCTGGTAGAGCTATGTTGGTCACAGGTGTGACCTTTTATGATGGAACTAGCCCTAGCATGGATGCAGTTATACTGGAATCCGAGCCTTGCCAGTGTAGCGTCTCTCTCTTGGGGGACCAGTGTTAGCTAAGATGGCAGAAGCTCTTTTATGCAGATATGAGCTATTTCTACACTCGGAGGGTTTGCCGGTATAATGATGCCAGGGTAGCGATGCCAGCAAAACTTTTCCAGTGTAGACTAGGCCTAGGTGTGCCCATATAGGGGCCTGTGCCAGTTTAACTAACCCCATTTAATGAAACCAGTGTGTGTGTGTGTGTATGTAGACAAGGCCTACATCTTCCTGGGGCCTTCTCTTTCTGAAGCATTTTACAGACATCCGTGAATGAAACCTGCCAGCAGCCTGCGACCTTAGCGCACCATCACTGCTGTTTTGGCAGGGCAGACTCTCTGCTCCACTCCGGCAGCACAGCGGAAGGAAAGACCGGCTATGTCTCATTGGCTGGGGAGTTGCGCAGCCCCTGGGCACCCTCTCTCAGCCTCCTCCCTCACCCCCACCCCAGGGAGCACGTCAGGCTGGCAGGAGGAGTAGCCAGACTGTGATGCTCCTCCGGTCTCCTTGGTCCTCTGAGCATGATGCTGCAGAGCGGAGAAGCTAGCCCAATAAGTGGAGGTGTAGTGAATTGTGGTAATGTCAGCAGCAGTAAAGCTAGGAATAGAACCCAGGAGTTCTGGCTTGTGCCATAGAGGGGGCTAGCCAGGAGAAGACACCTCAGTGAGTGGAAAGCAGGAGAGCACACACTGTACCCTCTTAAGGTACTGCCAGGGAGCTCCAGCTGCCATTGTACCTCCCAGGCCAGGACCCTCTGGTGTCACCACTGAGTCAAGGCAGGTCCCCAACCCCTGCTGTGCCTGGCGGTGCAGGCTGGTCCCAGATCACCAAACTAAAGCACGTTTAGGACTTCACCTCTTCCCCAGGATAGATGCCTGCCTCTGACCAAGCTCTCCAGTCTACCACTTGAAAAGAAAAGTTCTGGACACTGGTCAGAGCTGTGGCACTGGCTTCTGCTTTTCTTGGGCACTAGATTCTTTGCCCGCCTGCCATAGACCAGCCTTTCAGCAGTTTAGTGACTGCCAACCGGAGGCGCCAGAATACACACACTTAGAAATGCAGAGGTTTGAGTTAGGAAAGGCTGTCCACAGGACACGGACACATGGAAAGTAATTAAAATAAGCATCTGCCAAGGGGGCGGTCCGCTGGGGAGCTGTTTTAGTTTAATAACGTTTCCAAGAAGCTGCTTGTGGTTTTATTGAATTTTGTTGGCTGCCACCGAGGTGGCTGTGTGCAGAAGGGCCAAACTTTTTTGCTTTATAGTCATTGTCTCTTCATACTTTTTTTTTATTGGCGTTACCATGAAGGGGCCAGGAGTTCTGAACATAAATGTACAACGTCAGTATGAAAAACAATCCTCTAGACCCGTCTGCTGTGAGAGCTGTGTTGATTTATAACTAGAGCTGGGTGAAATCTTTCAGCCCACTAGATTTGATGAAAGTTGCCATTTTGGTCAACCCAAAACTATTTGCAAATTTGACACACACAGTTTTTCAGTCGTTCACAAAAGAGCTGGTAGTGGAGATAATGCTGCTGTTGTCACCAGTATTCCCCATCCCTTTTACTAGGAATATAATCCCAGGTTTGGCCGTCAGATGTAGGCAGACACAAGCCCAAAGGGTTATATTTCTGGCTCTGTTAAAAAGTGTCACATTTTGTCTCTCTTCCCTACCCTCTTATTCTCAAGTATCCAGAATTTAATCTCCGCTTCGATGAAAGCTAAAATTACAGCCTACGTCATAGCCTTAGCCTTGCACATTAACAACTTCCAAACAGACCTGACTGTGCTACAGAGGGACATGAAACTCCGCGAGAACAGGTGAGTGACGTTTCTGTGAATTGAAAGAACACGAAGCGTTCAGTCATTTTTAATAATTTGGGGGGGGGGGGAGGAGGAGGAAGGCAGCACTGGGGGTTTGTCTTCAGTTCCTCGATTGAGCAGTTGGGTGTTTGATCCAGATGCTGCCCTGAGTGCCATACAGGCTCCCCCCGTTCTTGTCAGAGGGGTGCACCCAGGCAGTGCTCAGTGCAGAATTGGGGTGTAATGGGGTGCTTTTTAAAATAACTAATAATTCTGAGCTCTTATCGAACACTTTTCATCAGTAGATCTCAAAGCACTTTACAGAGGAGTTTGGCATCCTTGTCCCCTTTTACAGATGGGGAAACTGAGGCATGGAGGGAAAGTGACTTGCCCAAGGTCACTCAGCAGGCCAGTGACAGAGCCAGTAGAATTCTGAGTCCAATCCAGTGCTCTGTCCACTGAGTAACAATGCCTCTGTGTTTTCCAGTCTATTCTCCTCCTCCTCACAACAAGGGGGAAGCGGAGTTCTGACTCCCCGCTGGGTCCTTGATCCGTGTTTAATTGCCAGGAGGCAACAGTCTCTGTCATAAAGGTTGGAACTCAGGTTTTTAAACAAAACCAATTGTGAGCACATGCCCCCTTGGCACAGCCAGTAATCATAGAATAGAATCATAGAATATCAGGGTTGGAAGGGACCCCAGAAGGTCATCTAGTCCAACCCCCTGCTCAAAGCAGGACCAATTCCCAGTTAAATCATCCCAGCCAGGGCTTTGTCAAGCCTGACCTTAAAAACCTCTAAGGAAGGAGATTCTACCACCTCCCTAGGTAACGCATTCCAGTGTTTCACCACCCTCTTAGTGAAAAAGTTTTTCCTAATATCCAATCTAAACCTCCCCCACTGCAACTTGAGACCATTACTCCTCGTTCTGTCATCTGCTACCATTGAGAACAGTCTAGAGCCATCCTCTTTGGAACCCCCTTTCAGGTAGTTGAAAGCAGCTATCAAATCCCCCTCATTCTTCTCTTCTGCAGGCTAAACAATCCCAGCTCCCTCAGCCTCTCCTCATAACTCATGTGTTCCAGTCCCCTAATCATTTTTGTTGCCCTTCGCTGGACTCTCTCCAATTTATCCACATCCTTCTTGAAGTGTGGGGCCCAAAACTGGACACAGTACTCCAAATGAGGCCTCACCAATGTCGAATAGAGGGGAACGATAACGTCCCTTGATCTGCTCGCTATGCCCCTACTTATACATCCCAAAATGCCATTGGCCTTCTTGGCAACAAGGGCACACTGCTGACTCATATCCAGCTTCTCGTCCACTGTCACCCCTAGGTCCTTTTCCGCAGAACTGCTGCCTAGCCATTCGGTCCCTAGTCTGTAGCTGTGCATTGGGTTCTTCCGTCCTAAGTGCAGGACCCTGCACTTATCCTTATTGAACCTCATCAGATTTCTTTTGGCCCAATCCTCCAATTTGTCTAGGTCCTTCTGTATCCTATCCCTCCCCTCCAGCGTATCTACCACTCCTCCCAGTTTAGTATCATCCGCAAATTTGCTGAGAGTGCAATCCACACCATCCTCCAGATCATTTATGAAGATATTGAACAAAACCGGCCCCAGGACCGACCCTTGGGGTACTCCACTTGATACCGGCTGCCAACTAGATATGGAGCCATTGATCACTACCCGTTGAGCCCGACAATCTAGCCAGCTTTCTACCCACCTTGTAGTGCATTCATCCAGCCCATACTTCCTTAACTTGCTGACAAGAATACTGTGGGAGACCGTGTCAAAAGCTTTGCTAAAGTCAAGAAACAATACATCCACTGCTTTCCCTTCATCCACAGAACCAGTAATCTCATCATAAAAGGCGATTAGATTAGTCAGGCATGACCTTCCCTTGGTGAATCCATGCTGGCTGTTCCTGATCACTTTCCTCTCATGCAAGTGCTTCAGGATTGATTCTTTGAGGACTTGCTCCATGATTTTTCCAGGGACTGAAGTGAGGCTGACTGGCCTGTAGTTCCCAGGATCCTCCTTCTTCCCTTTTTTAAAGATTGGCACTACATTAGCCTTTTTCCAGTCATCCGGGACTTCCCCGGTTCGCCACGAGTTTTCAAAGATAATGGCCAATGGCTCTGCAATCACAGCCGCCAATTCCTTCAGCACTCTCGGATGCAACTCGTCCGGCCCCATGGACTTGTGCACGTCCAGCTTTTCTAAATAGTCCCTAACCACCTCTATCTCCACAGAGGGCTGGCCATCTCTTCCCCATTTTGTGATGCCCAGCGCAGCAGTCTGGGAGCTGACCTTGTTAGTGAAGACAGAGGCAAAAAAAGCATTGAGTACATTAGCTTTTTCCACATCCTCTGTCACTAGGTTGCCTCCCTCATTCAGTAAGGGGCCCACACATTCCTTGTGGCCCCCCAATCCAGTCCCCCCCAAATGCCTTGCCTGCGCCTGGTGCAGAGGAGACATGTTTTCCTGAAATTTGGGGAGGGTAATTGCACATGGCATCAGGAGATGAGAGTTTGGCTAATTGGGACTAGCAAGGACAACTGGGGGGGGGCAGGATCAGGTCCTTAATGAAGAACACTTGCTCCGGTATCTTCATTGAGAAGTTACTTCCTAGCACTTAATTTCCCATGGGACAAGAAGTATGTCTGTGTCATATTTACTGAGTATTAAGTGTAAAGTGTGCCTTTTATCAACAGGTCTCAATCAGGGCCTGATCCAGAGTCCATAAAACTCAGAGGGGTCTTTCCACTGACTTTGAAGGGGTGTGACTCAGGCTATTGGAGAATACAATTATGATCAATTCTTGATTTAATCTAATGGACTCGCTTAGGGAATCCTTGACCTGCAGGTTGCGGAGACTGGCTGTTAGCAGAGAGCAGCTGCATAATACCATCTGGAATTGAAATGTATTGGCCCCCGGTCAGCAATTTAAGTTCAACCATGCTTAGCTTGCTGCACCTCAGTGGGAGAAATAGCAACTCCAAGGACATGCTTTGTAGCTTGACCTGGTTCATAAGGATGACTGTTCCCTGACAAGATCTCTAAAGATGCTATTGCAGGGTATGAAAAACCCATCTCGAGATCTGTGTCCTGCAGAATTAACAACTTCAACGAGAAATCAGTTATTCCCCATAACAAAATCGTGTAGAAAATAATGAAATGATTCTCGACTAGAAAGCTTAAATTCCAATGGTAAATGGAAGTAATCCGACCTATTAGTTGCCTGGCTTTTCAGAGGGTGACTCCATTTGTACATGTTCTGGCAGTGGATGCTGTTGCTGATTCCAGTAATTTTGCTGTTTGGAACTGAGTGGAATAATGGTTTTAATGGCAGTGTTTGAAGCCGGTTAGACCCCATTTTTAAAGATGAAGTAAATGGCTTTTGGAAAGGTCACGCTGCCTTTTGTGAGCTATATTAGATACAAGAGATTCTTGACTTGTACAGCTGTCTTTTTGGGGATCCTGAAACAATGAGTGCAGAGAAGTCTGAAAAACGAAAGTCAGAGTGAGCCTCAAACTGGAAAAAAGCCACTTCTTTAATCTCCTTGCAAACGGCATTGTTCATTGAAACACAGATGCAAAGCTGACATTGGGGATCAATCAGAATACACTAAAGTGAGAGCCTAGGACTTTTACTAGAACAGGCAGCATTGTTAATCACATTCAGATGCGCCATGTGCCACGGGAAGAATGAGAAATTGCTGCGATCATTATATTCAGGAGTGATTTAGTTCTTTGAGTAAGGATTTTGCATCCCTGATTAAAAAGTTCTACATGTTCTCCTTGCTGACGTGTTACTGCTTTAATTCTACTGTGAGGTCTCATAGGCCTGGTCTACACTGCGGGGTGGATAGGGGGCATCAATCTAAGTTACACAACTTCAGCTAGAAGTCGACGTACTTAGATCTATTCACCGCGGTGTCTTCACTGCGGTGAGTCGACAGCTGCCGCTCCCCGGTCGACTCCGCCTGCACCTCTCACTCCGGTGGAGTACTGGAGTTGACGGGAGAGAGCTCGGCTGTCGATTTATCACGTCTAGATTAGATGCGATAAATCAACCCCCGCTGGATCGATCGCTGCCTGCCAATCCGGCGGGCAGTATAGACAAGCCCTTAGAGCCCATCAGTGCTGCATCCTAGACAGCCAAAAGAGTTTGCAGTTGAGCACCACAGGACATTCTCTCTCTTTCCTCCTGAGTGTCTGGAAATCAGCTGGGCTCTCCTGCAGGGCAGCGTGCCGTGCTATCAATCAATAAATACCTGAGCTGTGCCCGTTACAAAATGTAGATTGCTTTTACTTCATCTCTCCCCGGACTGGCATGGACTGAATAACTTTCACACACTTGGGATTATGAGCCACTAAATAAAGCAACAGGCTATTCTCATTACCCAAAGCTGGGCAGGCCAGCCATATTGCCAGTCACTGCTCCAGAGAACAGCCACAGAGCCAAGTTACTGCTTGCGTCTGACCTGATTCTTGCTCCTTCGAGGTGAAAGCCTAATTGCTCTGATCCAGGGGGCTGCCTTGCGCTACTGAGTGTTTGTGATTTGACACAGGAATGTACACTCTTGCATTCACTGATATGGGTGTTTTTATTTTTGTCAGAATACTGGAGATCGCTAAAGCTATGAGGCTGAAGATCTCCAAAAGGAAGGGGCCGTCAGGACTCACGGACGAGGAAGACCACAAGTTGGCCACCCTCTCTCTGCCCTTACCTGTGTACAAGCCATCAGGGAGCCAGCGGAAGCGCAAGAAGATGAAATAAAGGAATACTGTGCACATCTCACTGAGGAGAACACTGGCTGAAAGGGAAGGAGCCTCTGCAAGAACAAAGCTGATGCCAGTTCCCTGATCCCACTTGAAATCTGAGCTCCTAGAAGGGCTATTTTGCCAGACAGTGGAACTGGACAAGGCTGATACTAGTAATGGGTTTGGCTGACGTCCATCTCTGTAATCAGTCCTTTTTGAAAATAAACCAAAACCCTCTCCTCCTTTCTACACAGCTACACCCATGCTTTTAGGGGATGGGGGCGGCTAGAAGGGAGGAGAAGATAGGAGAGGCCATGCAGACCTCACAAACTTCCATTAGTCCTGGATCAGCTGTGGGCACATCAAGTCTGTGAAAGAAGGCAGGCAGGAGAGTGAATGCTCTGTGGCCAACGCAGTCTGCTGAACAAATGTGGTTCGTGGCTGTGCATCTGAAAAGAGGAGTCCAGACTTTCTAACCTGATCAGCTCCTCTTCCTCTCTTGCTGTCTGTGCCTCTGGGAGCGTATTGTAATTAATATTAAAAGGAAGTTCTCACCCTCTAACTAGTCAGCTGGGGAAATGGGAACTCCTCCTAATCTTGATTCCTACCCTTACTTGCTTTGTGACCTTTGGCAACAGCGTTAGCTGGTGTTATTTCAGTTGTTTTTGGCTGGAGCATATTGTTACTAACCTGCACATGCCTCTGGCTCTCTGAACTTCTACAGTTTCCCATCATTGCTAAATGTGATAAGAGGGAATCAGTGGAAGTTCAGCATTTTTCTAGTTAAGTATAGAGCTGATTTCATTCTTCTACACCAAAGCACTCGGCAAAAATGTTACAGCTTTTCTCCATCCTATTCTCCCACTGTCAAATTTTCAGAATTGCAGAGCATAGACAGTTTTCATGGAGGACATCAGACAAAAAGAGAATGAAGCGTGTACAGGGCAAGAGGGTCTGCCTGCCCGTTGGTTATCATCAGCATACCTACCCCAGTCAACCAACCAGAAAGTTGTAGTGTTGTCTGCTGTGCTGAAATCCTTTAAGCATAATAGTCGAACCCAGTGGAGGCTCCAGCTATGCTGTTGAAGTGTGGGGTGGGAGGGAAGCTGAGCAGGGAGCGAATCAAAACAAAACTTATATGTACTCATTTCTTCACATTGCCCTGCTGTACCTCCTGGTACCTGTCCTGTGCCGTTTCCATCCCATAAGCTTTAAAATCACAATGTAACTCAGCCCAGAGCAGGAGAATCTGGCTTATTGACTCCTGGCCAGCTGCAGGAACGAGGCACCATTTCTCCCCTGAGCCTGTTTAATTGCTGGCGCACCGTATTGTAAAGTAAGTAGAAGAATTGGATTAGTCTTTTTCTGGTTGCTTAGCTCGTGCTTTTATTGCTCTCTCCTTTCCAAGGCTGTTCCATGGATACAGCAGAACTCAGATGAATGAAGAGCTCGTTTGTAGGTGCTGTTTTAGGACTAGATTTCCTGCAGGGAGGTGAGGGGAAAGCTAGAACCACAACTCAATCCTCAGCTAGAATAGAAGATGCAGGAGCACAGAAAACAAAAGCTTTTCCATGGATTTCTTCCCCCATGTGCTTATTTACGGTGTCCACAGACAGGCTCCTGAGTCCACATGCAGGTACCTACATGAACGACCCGATTTAGCGAACAGAATGTTGGGAATCATTGAGAAAGGGATGGATGATGAGACAGAAAATAGCGTACTACATCTGTATAAATCTATGGTACGCCCACATCTTGAATACTGCGTGCGGATGTGGTCTCCCCATCTCAAAAAAGATACATTGGAATTGGAAAAGGTTCAGAAAAGGGCAACAACAATGATTAGGGGTATGGAATGGCTTCTGTATGAGGAGAAATTAATAAGACTGGACTTTTCAGGTTGGAAAAGAGACTAAGGGAGGATATGATAGAGGTCTATAAAATCTTGATGTGTGGAGAAAGCAAATAAGGATTAAATACTCCTCGTAACACAAAAACTAGAGGTCACCAAAAGAACTTAATAGGCAGCAGGTTTAAAACAAATGGAAGTATTTTTTCACACAATGCACAGTGAACCTGTGGAACTCCTTACCAGAGGATGTTGTGAAGGCCAAGACCAGTGGTGGGCAACCTGCAGACCACATGTAGCCCATCAGCGAACTACAGCTGGTGCGGCGGGGGGGTGTGCCTGCGGACTGTCAACATTAGCAAAATGTCTCGTGGCCTGCAGTCAGATTACCCTGATGGGCTGTATGCAGGCCACAGGTTGCCCACCACTGGCCAAACAGGTTTCAAAAAAGAACTAGATAAGTTCATGGAGGATAGGTCCATCAATAACTCTTAGCTAGGCTGTGCAGGGATGGCGGCCCTAGCCTGTTTGGCGGAAGCTGGGAAGGGGCAAGGGGATGGATCACTTGATGATCACCTGTTCTGTTCGTTCCCTCTGGGGCACCTGGCACTGGCCACTGTCGGCAGACAGGATACTGGGCTAGGGGGACCTTTGGTCTGACCCAGTGTGGTCGTTCTTATGTTCAAAAGCACAGAGCCCGCAGCAGCTCCTCTTCAATTCAATGGGGAACTCATTAAGGACCTGATTCAAAGCCTATTGGAGTCAAAGGAAAGACTCCCACTGGTTTCTATGGATTGTAGACCCAGGCCTTAGGCACCATAACAGACTTAGGAACTTTGGTAGACACTCGGTAATTAGGGGAGGCACTTATTTTGGAAAATCTTAGCCTGTTCTATTCAACAAGGAGGGGAGATCCTGGCAAAGGCTGCAGCTTATCTCCGAGGAGGAAAGCCACTGTAAGCTGAAGGGAGCAGGAAGTGTTTAACAGCTCGAGTAAATTCCTATTCTTTTATGTGGTGCATTCGCTTCAGGGAGAGACATGGGCCTCTGAGGCACCCACAGAAACTCTCTCAGGATACAACGTAGCCTTTTATTGCGCACCCTGGCAAGTGTCGTGAGCAGTCCGTCATTAAACGTGACAGAAAACGTACTCAACTTTCTGGGCAGAGGCTGCTAATTAATGCCACAGAGATTACAGACTGGCTGATCAAGGCAGAGGTTTTGACTGAAGGTCTGTAAATGCTTCTGTAACAAATCTAGTTGGGAAAATGTGGAAGGTTTTTAGTCTAAAGATAAGGAGGGCTTGTGGCACCTTAGAGACTAACCAATTTATCTGAGCATAAGCTTTCGTGAGCTACAGCTCACTTCATCGGATGCATACTGTGGAAAATACAGACGATGTTTTATACACACAAACCATGAAAAAATGGGTGATTATCACTACAAAAGGTTTTCTCTCCCCCCACCCCACTCTCCTGCTGGTAATAAAGCGATCACTCTCCTTACAATGTATATGATAATCAAGGTGGGCCATTTCCAGCACAAATCCAGGGTTTAACAAGAACGTCTGGGGGGGGGAGGGTAGGAAAAAACAAGGGGAAATAGGTTACCTTGCATAATGACTTAGCCACTCCCAGTCTCTATTCAAGCCTAATTGTAATTGTATCCAATTTGCAAATGAATTCCAATTCAGCAGTCCCTCGCTGGAGTCTGGATTTGAAGTTTTTCTGTTGTAATATCGCAACTTTCATGTCTGTAATTGCGTGACCAGAGAGATTGAAGTATTCTCCGACTGGTTTATGAATGTACAACATTCATAAACCAGTCAGAGAACACTTCAATCTCTCTGGTCACGCGATTACAGACATGAAAGTTGCGATATTACAACAGAAAAACTTCAAATCCAGACTCCAGCGAGGGACTGCTGAATTGGAATTCATTTGCAAAAAACCTGGATTTGTGCTGGAAATGGCCCACCTTGATTATCATACACATTGTAAGGAGAGTGATCACTTTGCATAAGCTGTTACCAGCAGGAGAGTGGGGTGGGGGGAGAGAAAACCTTTTGTAGTGATAATCACCCATTTTTTCATGGTTTGTGTGTATAAAACATCGTCTGTATTTTCCACAGTATGCATCCGATGAAGTGAGCTGTAGCTCACGAAAGCTTATGCTCAGATAAATTGGTTAGTCTCTAAGGTGCCATAAGTCCTCCTTTTCTTTTTGCGAATACAGACTAACTCGGCTGTTACTCTGAAACTAGTCTAAAGAGGTGCTGTGATTAATTAACCGCCCTTAACTACCCTGCCTGCGGCGTGTTGTGCTCAGGAGATAGCAACACGTAAGAACCAAATAGCAGGAGTTATTTGGAACCCAGCACAAAATAACTGAACGGCCTCCCCCTGGACTACAGCAGCTTAGCCCTGCCAAGGGAAGTTCTGCACGTGTCACTCTCAATGCAGCGTCCTAGGAGCAAAATTCGGCTGAAGAGCCGGGTGGGACCCTGGGCTGGGTCGTAGCCCCGTCAAAGGAGCTGCGAACTGGAGGGATTTCGGTTTCCTTTTCATTATTGCTGTTGGCAGGGCTGTGGTGCAGAGGAGAGGAGCACTGTCCGGGTGATCGGGGAAGGCCAGTGCATTGCCTAGAGCCACTGCAGCGTATCACATATCTATTGCAGGGCTGTGGTGTAGAGGAGAGGAGCACTGTCCGGGTGATCGGGGAAGGCCAGTGCATTGCCTAGAGCCACTGCAGCGTATCACATATCTATTACAGAGCATGGGCTTGGTGCCCACTAGTACTACAGCCCTGTTACACTGCTCTGGTGCCAGCAGGGGGTCAGAAACAGGGACCTTTCCACCAGCATAAAGCTAGTTATAGACTGGCCCGACTCACTGCTGCTGGCACCGAGGGTGAGCCAGGGCTGGGAATGGGTCAGCGTTCACTGCTGCCTAGGGACCATGGGAGGCAGTGTGTAAGTTAGAGCAGCCCTGAAATGTCTCTAAATGACACCAAGGGCCAGACAGGGCCCTGCACAGCCTCAGACTATGGGGCCATAAAGGTGTCTTAAAGCATGTTTGTCCCTCTCCCCCTAGTGCATAGTGCAGGAGAATTGGGGTCAAGGCATGTATCTCTGCATCCTGCTAGAATATGTACTGTAGCACTTCTGTGCAACATGATGCCCACTGCCAGAGCAAACATGCCAAAGTTTCCCCCCCACAAAAGCAATCAGTAGGGCTGGGGGTCCAGTCTTCAGAAAACCAAGACATAGTCCAGGGACTATGTCTTCAGAAAACCAAGCTTCACCACTGGTTTAATAATCTGGTCTTCCAAATGTGGCCGCTGCCATCTCCTGCCCATTACAGAGTCTGTCCACGTCCAGGCAAAAATAACTGTGTTCA